CAACAAAATTAATGGAAAACAGAAAATTATAATTATAAAAACTAAAACGAATAATTTAAGATTTAGTTTTCCCAAAAAATTTAATAAAAAATAAAAATTAAATATAATTAATTTTATCTACCTTAAATGATTTATTTGTTTAATAAAAGCACTATATGTTAAAAATGAAAAAACATTTATTATTTAAAAAATGGTTGTTATTTAAACAAAATACTAATTATTTCCAAAAATTAATAAAAATTGAAAATTATAATTATAAAATTGAAAGAGTGATAATTATTGTACAATGTTTGAATGTTTTAGAGTCCCGGTATTGTTTGTTATAATATTTCTCTTCATATAACTTATTGAAATATGCATCTCTCATGTGTTTATATCTTATTCATAGATAATTCAGCTTTTGGTTTAGTATGATAAATGTATTTATGTGATGTGTATGATGAATGTATTTTTTTAAAAAATATTTATCCGAATAAATTCACTTATTCATATTCTTTGATTCTCAAATAAGTTCAATAATGACTTTTTTTACCCATACAAAATATAAAATGAAAATTAAAATGGGCAAACTTATCCCATTAACTAACTTTACTGTGGGGCCTAGAATTTACCAAAACTAGAATACTGTAAAATTGGCCAATAGGAATCATTTTTCCGTTCATCACCCTCCTATTTTCCCAAAAAATGGGGCCCTAGAATTATTGTTAAATATTACACAGAAAACAACTCATATGTGGGTGTCACTCTTGTGGTCTTACGTGGCCAAATTTCTGGCCATGAGATTTAGCAGAACTGTTCATATTGAATGATTTGGGTTCCATTTGTTTAGCACATCATTTCAAAACTTTATAAATATATTTTTGCAAAACTTTGGAATGATATAAATTGTGGAGGAACAAATGGCCAAGAGGAATGATATATCAGCTTCAAACATGATACTTGGACCAAAGGATAGACTGACATCTCTCTCTTTCTCTCTCTTCTTGGATTCTACTAACAACAAAAAAGCAACACGTAGCTCCCTTAGTGTTGTATTTGGGCCAAACTATCCCCAAAGCCTGAAATAAACAGCATAGTCCATAGATGGTCAAGGGAGATGGGTTTGTTCGTGCAAAGAGTCTCTGCAACGTGGCTATATGTATTATTGGATCAAATTTTGAGCAGGTCTTAAAAGCTTTGAGCCTCATTATTGGCATCTAAAGAAGCAAAATGTTCTTTAAGCTGCATTTGGAAGCCATGTAAATCAAGAATCGATGTAAAATTTACATTGATTTGATTTTGTAGGTGTTTGGAAGGAGTATGTAATTATGGTCGATGTAAAATTCTACTCCGGTTCAATTTTGTGTGTGTTTGAGTGTAGAATTTTACATCGTGAATTAATGTGAAACCTTATCAAGCATAAAGTTTTACATTGATAATTGATGTAAATAATACATCGATTTTATCGATGTAAAACTTTATATTTTTTTATCATGGTTTTTAAAATGTAACGGTCACCTATTATACGGTTCAGTGTAAAATGTCATCAGTACATCGGATCCAAACGAAGTCTTAGGTTGCGCTTGGAAACGATGCAAATAAGTGTGAATGCAAATATGTAGAGTGTAAAACGGTTCATATAAATTGCAAAATTGGATTAGTTTTGCACTGATAAATTTACCTTCTTACCAAACAGACTTTTAGTTTTAATGGATGCAAACATGAATTCCAATAAAGCATATGCTTTTTTTTATCAAAAGTGAATGCAAATTTACTTCCTTTTTATTGATGCACTTTTACATCTTATTATCAATGTAAATATGCATTGGTCTGTCATTTGTCAATGTATAAATGTAATGTTGCCAAATACAGGCAAAAGTGAACCATACTGCAAATTTACCCTGAACTAGGATCTACACTCCATTTGCATCGTTTCCAAACGCAACCTTAAGGAACCAAATCGGCCACGTGTAAACATAGCTAACTAGTTGGGTGTTTGGCACCATGGCGTTCCACAAGCGTTCTATTTCATGGGTACTCCTTGATTTACAAGTGTTTTGTTTCACTTGTTTTTTTTTAATAAATACAAAAAAAAAATGTATTTGATAGAGATGCAAGCTGACTGTGCGTTTAAAGTGATTTGAGTTATTATTATAATATACTTATAATGACAGTTGTATGACATCTTAGAAAGAAGTCACCTTTTTCAAATTTCAATCTGCCACATCACCTTAATGATTCAAGATCACCAAGGCAATTCAAGAATTATCAATTTAATGATTCAAGAAACCCCTCATTTCCCGAATCCCAAAGCTAATCATTGCAAAAACGTTTTTTTTTTTTGAAAAACAGATTTCCAAATACAATTTTCTCCCCCAATTCCATTTAATTGGTGATGTGGCATGAATGACACATAAGCAAAAACCAAACGCTTGTGAAACACCCCGATGCCAAACACTTGGAAGATAATTAAAGGGGTTATATCATATAAGGGCAAATTTTGGGCCCTAATATCAATAAAAGTAATATATTTAATAAAATTTCAAAAATAAGTTAATTTTTTAAAAATAATATCAAAAAGGGCCAAAGTTATTGTTCATCATCTTCTTCTTGTAGATTATTCATTAGAGCCACCCGTCGCCGCCTCCGGCACGCCTCCACCTTTGTCCACCATCTGTAAGTCTAAGAAGAAGGGAATGCTCGTTTCCTCCATTTTTGATACCATAGAGACGCATGCCACCGACAACAGTTGTAAAGGCCACCCATTCCCATGCTATTCGTTTGATGAAACAATAAAAAAAATGGCATTAGGCGTCGGATTTCATTGACATGAGAAGCAACGTTTCTGGCCACAGGCCCACAAAAAACAGGGGAAGGCAACTATGCTGGGAGGTTATGAGAGGATAGGAATTGGTTGAGATAATTGACGAAGAGATACACCGTTACAGGTCTGAAGCGGTCGTATGCATGCACTTGAGTCACGGAAGGAAGAAAAACAAAATTGTAAAAAATGATAAGGAAATAGATGGCTAGACTCAAATTTAATGAAAAATAATTTAGTAGACGGACAAATATTATGCCTTCAACATCCAGTTAATGGCATCCTATTTAGTGGTGGCATTAATCGAACAATAGGGAAAGAATCGCTAATAGTCAGACACCGGCAAGTGGTGGAGTTCGGAATCCATGAGTGTCGCAAAAAAGCGGTCCCTGTCTTGGCCATCATCGTCGTCGGTTGTCGATAGATAAGTGTTAGTCGTTATGGGGGGATCTGGGCTGCAGGTGTCGGCATCCCAGGAAATGGTGTCCCCTTCGCCGTTATGGAGTTCGGAATACTGCTACAGGTGCCGCAGTATAAGCTAGAAACAGAGTGGTCGTCTGGGGATAGCGACATCATGGTCAAGGAGAACTAGTTCGACGACGACATAGTCATTCTCATATGGTTTTCCCAAACCACATAAGCCATGCTTTCTAGATTTGGGGAAACTAGTGGATTTGGACATGGCCTTTGTCTATGGTTCAGGGAGAGTCATGAGTAAAATTTTCTTTTTCTCACTTACTCCCATTTGAGTAGTGAGATTTTTTTTTATATAGAGATGAAGAGGTATAAAGTTTGAGAAAAATTTGAGAAGATGTTTCTGCAACTACAAGCGACAGTCGGAGACAATAGTCAAAGGCCGGAGGCGGTAGCGGGCAGTTCTGATGAATAATCTACAAGAAAAAGAATATGAACAGTAACTATGTCCCTTTTTTATATTATTTTTTAAAAATTTAACTTACTTTTAAAATTTTATTAAATATATTACTTTTATTGATATTAGGGCTCAAAATTGCCCTTATCTAATATAATTTGATAAGGAACCCTCTCAAAGGATCACATGGGCAGCCTCCAATGCCAAACCTGTACCCCATTTTGCATTGAACCTTATACTTGTCAGTTGTGGGGATCATCCCTTTTCTTATTGGTAGGTGAAGATGAGCCACATCTAATCACCTCAATTTCAATGGGTGGATTGGACAAAAATGAGAAGATTTTCACAACAATTAATGTCTCTGAAATGGGCATCCCAATGCAAGCTACCACACCACTAAATGCTACCTACTCATGTTCAACAAAGAAGCCTTTCATTTGTCCAAATCAGTTGGTCAGATCTTTGAAAGGTAGTTCAGTTCAATCCAAACTTGAGAGCATAGGATGATTAAGGTGGTATGTGCCAGTTTGGACTGGACCCTTTTGTTGGACTTAACTTTGGACCCTTTTGTTTGGGCAAAGGCCCAAAGAACAGTAGGCCTAGTCACCATTCACCAATGGTATTGTTGTTTATGCCTCAACTCTGAAGTTGGGAGCCTGAGTGCCTGACCAGTTTTTTTTTTTTTTCTTTGGAAGGTGAGTGCCTGACCAGTTGAGGATTTTGTTCAAAAACATTGCAAATACTTGTTTCACATCAATACTGCTTGTGTTATCCCTTTTTTAACCGAAACGCCTCAATCCAGACCAAACAGAACCTCCCCCGACCATCACACCAAGACCTACTTTCTCTCGTCAAATCCTGTAAATTCTTCACCCAACTCAGAAATTCAGGCCCAATTCACCAAAACTGGTTACCATCAAGAATCCCACTTGCTAACTACTCTAATACGCCATGTCTTGTCTTGGTTTTACCAAAAATTACTCTATAATACCATTACCCTCTTGTTCCCCATTCCAAGAACCAGATTACGCACATCTTATCGAGATCGGCTTCTATCAAGACAAATCTGTGCCCACATCATTTTCTTCTGTTCTAAGCGCTTGTGTGCATCTACAGGTGCCATCCAAGAAGGGAAGCAAATCCATTCTCTCCTTTACTGTCACATGGGCTCCACTGGTATATTCACGTTGACAAAGCCCTCATAAGTTTCTATGGTAAAAGCATGCAGATGCAGTGTGATGATTCCCACCAAGTTTTTGAAAAAAAAAATACCTTTCCTAAACCTGGCTGCTCAAAATTCTGTCTTTTGCATACAAAAATTGTGGATGAATGGAGGATGCTGAGGCACTGTTTAAGCAGATGCCTGAGAAGGATGCTTCCACATACACATCAATGATGACGGGTTTTGGAGAACATGGTGACGTCGCCACTGCTCGTAGGATGTTTGGGGAAATTCCCGAAAGAAATGTGAGTTGTTGGAATTCCATGATTTCGGTATATTCTCGGAAGTCGGAATGGACTTGACGAGGAAGCTCTATCTGCATTCTGTGATATGTGGATTTTGGGTGTTAATCCAAACGAATCAACGCTAGCTACTGTGCTTTCTGTGAGTGGACGATGTGGGTTTTCTTCTACTGGTAGAGGATTGCACTCTTGTATGGTGAGGTTGGGGATGGAAATTGATGGATATCTGGGAAGTGGGTTGATAGACATGTATGGCAACTGTGGGTTTATAGGAATGGCGCATCGAAATGCAATGATATTCGGGTTTGCTGCTCATGGTGATGGCAAGGCAGCATTGGCAAATGGAAATGTTCTCAGAAATGGAAATTGGGGGAGTGAAGCCTAATGGATAAACTGTGTTAGGCATACTAAGCGCTTGCACTTACTCAGGGCTTAAGGAACTAAGGAAACTTTAGATGTTATTTAAGAACATGCCCATGATGAAGCCTGATGTTTTCGTTTGGGTTCTTTATTAATTGCTTGTTGAATTCAATCAGATACTGGAACTTGATCCTCAACACTCTAGGGGGTATCTACTGCTATCTAATTTATACTCGTCAATGGGACAATGAGAAGAGTATCCCAGGATGCAGTTGGATTGAGGTAAACGTGGTTGTGCATAGATTTCAAGTTACAGAGGTAGAATACATCCACAAACTCATCAGATTTATGCGATATTGAATTGTCTGAATGAAGATCTCAGAAGTCATGAGCATGACCACTAAATTAACCCCATCTTCGTGATTTTGTCATTTTAGAGTGGTTGTTGGACTAAAATCTTAAGAGCATGTGAAATAGGTAGTTAACCCAAAGCTATGAGTAACAGGACAAACATTGGTTGTCTTACACTGCTGGTCCCAAGCCCAGAGATGAGGGAGGAGGGTTAGTTAGGTTGGCAGCTAGCATTAGAACTTTTGCCAAACTCTTATAAATATGAATCTGTTTTAAGAAACATTGGTTCATTGAATTTGTAATCTATTGTTTATATGTTTATAGTGGAGACAATATATTTCAGATTAAACGTTAATCGTCCATGTTGGGTTCATGGGCAAAATGGACTGTTGAGTGAAGACAAGAGTAGCTGGGTCTGAACACTGAATTATTGAGAGGTCAATGCCAAAATGTCTGGACTTAATTAGCACATGATTGATTGAACTGTCTAATTCATGCATGTGAATCACATGGTATCGATTAAGTTTGGTGAAGTGAACAGAAAACAGCAAGACATAATTTGCAACCATATAATATCTAGCAGTACCCTATTCATAATCTGGATATTGTGATAAAGACTTTAGAAAACAAAATAACAATTTACTTCATCACCATCATCTAAGCCTTGTCCTAACTATATGGAATCAGTTACATGAATCTTGTTTTGCCATTCTATTCTATTTTTAGGGTCTGTTTGGTTCATAGACGAAATCGGAATCGAAATCTTTCAGGATCAGAACCGGAATGGTCTATTCTCATAGTCTATTTAGTTCAGACAGGAATGGAAATGGGAATTGAATTCAACTGGAATGGAATTTCATTCTCAAGGGTGGAGGAGAGAATGGCATTCCACCAGAAATAGGAATGAGATTTTGATTATGCCCAACCAACCCATTCCGATTCCAATTCCAGACCCCTATTCCCGCAAACCAAATGGGACCTTATTACTTCCTCCATAAAACAACAATTTACTTAGCATGCATAATTTGGAACCTATCTCATTTAGCAACTGTCAATAGTAGCAAACAAATGTCTGATATCTTACCAAACCAAAGATTATTGAAGAATTTGACATGTCTGGTTGTCTCAAACTCAAGACTTTTCTTTTCTGATTTTTCCTGGAGGCTGTTGATTGGTTGTTGATGTAGTCTTCCTTCTGAAACTAACTAGTTCCATAGTATCGACTTTTGCATAGGTTACCAACTTAGCAAGATTATATGAGAAGTTCTAAAGTTCTATTTAAGGTGTTCAATGTTCTTTAGCCTCAAGGATAATCCAAACCTCAAGGAATTCTTTAATGCATAAAGCCAGGAACCCTGCTTCTTTCAATAAGCAATACTTCAATTCACATTGTGATTAACTAGTTCCATAGTAATGCACTTCTGTCTTGTATGTTGTCATTTATTTGGTGATGTTACCGATGTGCGGCTGTGATGTTGTGTGGGTAGAAAGTTCTGAACATTGTAACTTGTAAGAGTATCCTTATTTCTCAAGGACAATTTTTTCCATCCAATTTTACAGTACAAATATTATCTCTATTCTCAATATTTTGCCCTTTTCTATATTAGTGATTTCCATAATTTCATTGTAGTTGAGAAGATTACTCGAACTTGCCCTGTTAGATATCAATTACCTGGGTCAATGAAATGTCAGTACATTACTTCTAGAAATTTTCATAAATCCAAAAATCCCTCCATTGTAATTACAAAAATGCTTATTTACTATCAAGAATTTTTAGGCTCCGTTTGGAAAGAGTATATATGCAAATATATAGAGTGCAAAATCTTATATTTTGTATGTATTTGCACTGTACATATTTGCATATGTACTCTTCCAAACTGAGCCTTAGCATATAAAGCTATACAAGGGAAGGAATAAGGAGTGAAGAGTGACTTTATTTTTATATGAAGAAAATTTACTAAGATACTCCTTATGGTTTCACTTAATTACTAATACCTACCCTATGGTTTATGTTTTACTAAGATTCCCCCTCTACTTTGCAACTGCTTTACTTATTATTGTTGGTTATGTAAAATGATATTTTTGACCCTATTGCCTGTTTGACCAAAATAATTAGAAGAAGATAAATAACTGATATGTAGATTTAAAATATAAAAAAAAAATAAAAAATAAAAAATAAAATAGATAATAATTTTTTTTCTATTGTTGTCTATTTTAGTTTTATTTTTTATTTCTGTTATCTTCCTCTGTTTTTTCTTTATTTCCTTTTTATTCTTTTTTTTTTCCCTATTGCTAGCTTTTTGTTTTAATTTTGAAATAAAATAATGTGGGGAGGGTTTTGTTCCTACTTCCTAAAAGGGTAATATAACAACTTAATTTCAAGTAACTTTGGAATAAACAGTCATTTACAAACGGATATACAAACGACTTCCAACGGAAGGTGAATCAAGTAAAGCAGTTGTAAAGTATAGGGTAGGTCTTAGTAATATGTGAAACTAACTATAGGGAATGTCTTAGTAAATGACCAAAGAAAAATTGATATTTTGAGTTTTTATATGAAGAGAAAAGCCACAATGAAATGCTTAGACCTTGGATGAGATAGTTGGTATTTTCAGAATCTATTACATAAAGATATTTTTAAAACTTAAGGCTGTGTTTGGTTGCAGTGCAATTATATTTGCACTAGTACAAATAAATGCATAGGAGTGCAAATATAAAAAAATGCAAATTCTCATCTAATTTTGTTTTGGATTTTACTTTATTCTGCTTCATATCCTAATTTACTTCATTTTTACTCCAATCAAACAAAATAAGCTAAAATTTGAAACAAAAATAAGTCAAAATTTATACTCAAATCATTTGCACTACCATGATTTTGCATCAGTGTAAATTTATTTGCATTACAACCAAGCACAACCTAAGGCTCCATTTGGGAAGAATGCAAATGTAAATATATATTACTATTAAAAGTGTGAATGGGAGTGTGAAATTTTTGTTGACTAAAATACCCCAATTTTTTAATATGATCCCTCTAATTGTAAGGACAAAAATATAATTTGAACCACCACTTTTCTCCTCATTCAAATCCCTCCCATTAAGTTTTACATTTAAGGTTTTAACTCTCATTAACATTCATTGAATCCTATATATTCTTAACCAGAAAACCATATTTTTGAATTTGATTCTTCTATTTGTGATGGTATAGAATGTAATTTTAATTATTACATTTCTCCTCATTTAATTCCATCTCATTAAGTCCTATATATAAGGTATTAACTCCTCATTCAATTTCATCTCATTAAGTTCTAAATAGAGCCTAAGGCTCAGTTTAGAAAGAATACAAATACAAATATGTACAGTGCAAATACATACAAAATAATATAAAATCCAAGGTTTTGTACTGTACAAATTTGTATTTATACTCCTTCCAAAGGCTCAGTTTGAAAGGAATACAAATACAAATATATACGACACAAATGCATACAAAATGCAAAATTTTGCGCTCTACATGTTTGTGTTTATACTCCTTTCAAATGGAGCCTAAGTTGCATAGAATTATCTTTTGTCATTTGATGGAAGGGTTTCTGTGACAGGAAATGTCCAATCTTATTTTTTTGAAAAGTAGAAGTTTCGAAAAGCATAGGAAAAGTTCGAGCAATGCTTATCCTTTATTTTATTTTTTTGTTAGGCAGACCGAAAGAGGAGGATGGACGTTCTACCTGTCATTCTTGTCAGATTCTATGCATATTTCTCTGTTCTTCAAACCTATACTCCCTTACAAGTTACAACTTGGGTGGGCCTATGTTGATCATTTATTAAATTTTGAAGGCACCCGTGGCCTTGGCTAATACAGTACAAATCCTTTTGTATCAGTTTTATCCGATTTGCAATTGGGTCGGATCTCCCCAACTTAATTCTAACGTGTACAGTAACCAATGAGAATTCATCAAAATTTACATGGATAGTTTTGATTGGTCAGACTCTCACACAATTTATCAAAATTCATGGGAGTGGTTTTGATTGATCAGATTTACAGGATAGATTTTGGTGGATTCTAAAATTGTGTTAGGCTCGAGCTTGAGATCGAGCTCGGTTCGGTTCAAAGCTCGCAAGTTTGAGCATTGTAAGCCAAGTTTTTTCTAAACAATAAAAATTATAAATATTATTTTTTTTTATTTTACATACAAAAAATTAAGAATTATAAAAATTATTTATTATTACACATATAAAAATAAATATATACATATAAAAAATGTTTTTATTTTACATACAAAAAAATAAGAATTATAAAAAGTATTTACTATTATACATAAAAAATAAATATATTATATATATAATAAAAATTATTTATTATATATATATATATTTATATATGTATATGTGTGCAATAATAAAAAATATTTATTTATTATAATAAGCTCGATTAAACTCGCAAACCTCACGAGCCGAGCTTCACTAGGCTCGAGCTCGGCTCGATTAGCAAACAAGCCTATATATCAGGCACGAACTCGACTCGAAGCTCAGTTTAAACTGAGCCAAACCAAGTCGAACCGAGCTCGAATAACTCATGAGAATCTTGGCTCGTGGCCACCCCTAATCATCGTCGTCGTTGTCGTTGTTGTCATCATCATTATCATTTTAGCCTTATCCTAATTGGCTCGGCCACATGAATCC